TAACATTACTCTTTCTTTTTATAAGTTCATTTAACATCTTTTTTTCAAAACAACAAAAATCTTCAACATTGCACTCCTGTCTCATGACTCGTCCAATTACCGTCTGACTTTGCCCATTAAACGCGTGTGTTCATTTTTGCAGCTTATTACGTGGTGTTTTATTTAAGTTTCATCATTATTGTAACTGCTTCTCGGTTGTAACCGCGCGAATCCTAACAATCGCGCTTTAATTTCTGTCTTTAAGTTCCTGCTTGCATGGTTTAAATTATCGACATTATTTCTCTGTTTGCATGATTCAATTATCTCACGCCGTTACCATTATTCTGTTACACTGCACACATCCGAAGGTTAGGTCTAGCCGTTTGACCGCCGTGTCAATAGTCCTCAACCTCAAAACCTCAAAACTACAACCTCAAAACCTCAAAACTACAACCTCACAAACCCTAATTTTCACAAATGCCTCGCCGCAGGCAAGATTACAATTTTACCCCTAGCATTAGGTCAAAGAGCCGCCGCGCTCATTTTAGGGTTTCCCGCCGTGGAATCCCTAATTTAACCCTAATTACAACTTAACAATTCAACGTAGAGATTTGGAGTTTCTACACTCCACGTAAGCGTGTCCTTAAGATGCGTTTATTCCCCTTGAGACCTTGACCACAGTCAAGAAGTCTCTAACCTCCCTTTTGAGGGGAACTACGATTACTCTGATTCCACTCCCGTAAGGATACGTAGGCACAAGATGCAATGTCTTGCCGAGTAAACTTAGAATTAACCCCTTAGGTCTCCTTTCTCACTTTTAATCCTTCGTACATATACCTTAAGCAAATAAATAAAGCAAATATTAAACATTTGAACAAAAGGTTCCTGTAGAGTACTATAGAAGTTTAGGGTGCTAATACCTTCCCTAAATTTAACCAACCCCCGAACCCTAGATCTTTCCCTGCATTGTGTTTACGATGCAAAATAGGTTTTTCCTCTTTTGACCTTTTCCTTCGGATAAATCAAAGAGCGGTTGTGAATTGAATTGCGATTCAAACTCATTAATAGTTTGTGATCCTATTTCCACCGCAACAACTTGTATTCCCAAGGTGAAATCCGGCCGTTGATTTTTGACTTTCCGTTTTCCCTTTGATCTGGACCTTGCTTTCTCTCTTTGTATAAGGGGGTCCATGAATTTTTTGTCATTCCCTAGAGTTTTCTTCCCCTTTGTGAGAGAAATTTCATTCCTTCGCATGAGATTTTGCTTAAGCGTCCGTCTTCTTTGAAATAGAGCTTTCCCATTCAGCGTTTAATTTCAACCATCTCCACCAGATTCTATTTTCCCCAAGTACTCTTTTTACCCTAACTTTATCTTTTCATATACAATCTTTATTTTTTTGGCATGTTTTGTACAAATGATCACCCTGTAAACCTGCCTAGTGATTTTGAAAATAATGGTTCCTCCCCTTTAGTTAGAATATAAACATTTTCTATCTCAAATTCTCACTATTCAGTTGATAGTCACTCATGTTTTAGTCATTACAATTAATTCCAATATTTTTGATTTGGATGGATTTTTTGGTGGATAAAGAAACTTTCCTTGATGACTCTTCCTTCGACGCCAACTGTTCTGATGCGCGGTCAGTTCTACGTCTGCCCCCTTTACCGCTATAGGGGATTCAACTTTACTTTTCCTTCACTAGAGACGAAAGTTGATGCCTTAAATAGGGAAGAGGCTTGAGAATTCATAAAGGCTTCAAGATCTTCTTCCTTAACTCACTGTCACCTTCTGCACTAAGGTATATAGTTTAAGTTCTTTTCAAATTTACTTTGAATGTTCTGTTTCTTCCCTATTCAGATTGCATAATAAGCTTCTGATCAGAATCATACTAAACATCCTTGATCAGAACGGTTTTTCCATTCTTCACTCTGACCATGACATTTCTCATTCCTTCAGTATTAAGGTACTTATTATCAACACATATGATCTTTGTCCTCTTCCTAGAGTCAAAATCAATCAGTCATTGTTTATTTCTAGTTAGTTGATTTGAGAAGCCAGTGTCCATATACCACAAGTCTACCAAATATTCATCATCAGATTCAGAAGCCATCAATAGCACAGGTTCATCATCAGACTTTCCTCTGGCTATGTTTGCTTCTTCTAATTTCCTTTTCCTTATTTGACCAACGGTCAGCAACAAAGTGTCCAAACATCTTACAATATTAGCATTAAACCTTATTCTTGTCAAACTTCTCCTTTCCCTTCTAGTGTTTCTTCTCATCAGAGTTAGAGACTTTTGACTTATGATAACCACCATCATACCATGTCTCTCCTTGGCCTCTAACCAAGATTCCTTTTTATTTCTCTTACTAGAAGATGCTTTCAGATCCTGCTCTACCTCTTTTTCAAAGTTTCTTTCACTCACACGCAACTCTTATGCCTCTAGACTACTATGTAGCTCTTCAATTGTCATGGTATTGAGGTCCTTAGAGTGTTCAATTTCTACAACAATGTAATCAAACTAAGAATTAAGTGATCTCAGCTCATTTTCAATGATTACTTGTTCAAAGAGAGTTTCTCTACAAGATTTCATCTTATTTGTGATCAGAATCACTCTGGAGATGTAATCAGCTACCTTCTCATTGTTCTTCATGTTGAGATTCTCATACTGCTCACGTAGATACTGAAGTTTCACCTTCTTCAATGATTCATCACCGCCGTAGCACCGTATCAATGTGTCGCATGTAGCCTTCGTCGTTCTTGAATCAACGATATTCTTAAACACGTTCATATCCACCCTGATGGATATAAAAACAAAGCCTTTTGATCTTTCTTCCTCATTTCTCTATGTGTATTTCTTTGTGCTTCAGTTGCATCTTATGCACCTTCCGTGTAACCTTCATTGACGAGATCAAGAACATCTTAAGCGTCAAATAACACATGCATTTGAATCATCCACCGATTTTAATTCTTTCCAAAAAAGACTGGAAGCTTTGTGTTCAAGCTACCGTTTCCATCATTCATCTTCATTCTTGTGCAAATTCACTCAAGAACTCACCAGCACTCGTGTTTCCAAATCCCTCATAATAAAAAAATGAGACTCTATTTCGATTCAGATCTTCAATTCACTGTGAATTTAATGAGCATAATCAATTACACACACCTCATGTACACTCGTGTTTCCCGTTCCTGAATTTGAATCGGAGTTCTAGATACCAATTGTTAGAGCACAAGGTTGAATATGAAGAAGATGATGGAAGAGAGAGAGAAAGAGATAGATAGATAGATAGATAGATAGATAGATAGATAGATAGATAGATAGATAGATAGATAGAGATAGAGAGAGAGAGAGAGAGAGAGAGAGAGAGAGAGAGAGAGAGAGAGAGAGAGAGAGAGAGAGAGAGAGAGAGAGAGAGAGAGAGAGAGAGAGAGAGAGATATGCTACTAACTTTTAGATGAAAATCATTACATTCAAATTTTATTACAATTGAAACTCCAGTTCAACTTTTATACTATTAGAACCATTAAATGAAATTCAAATGCAAAAGCAAATTGAAATGAATTTGAATCTGAATTACAACTAACACAATTTAATCCTTATGTTACTATTTGTGTGATCTCATATGACCCAATAATATTAGTATTTGGTCAAATGTCCAATGAAACATAATTGGCTTCTAGCAAAGTATTATGATCACCTAATATTATTGAATATTTTATCTCCATAAATTATCCCATTTATATTTAGATTAATACACTTGATTGAAAGACAAAATCCTTCAATCTCCCATTTGTCTAAGAACAAGTGTGTAATCTTGAAATTTCATAAGTCGATCAATGTCCAACTTGATGATATGATGCCATCCAATGTCACCCATATCAGTCTTCAAGTCATTTCTTAAAATCCGAGTTTGAACTGTCGAAACAAATGATTGACTCCTTAATCCCGCACGACCATGCATTTTTCAGTTCTCGCTCTTCGAGAGGCCCGAGACACTAATCCTAACCTTTTAGGAGGACTTATCCAATCTTTTATAATCTAGTCTCCCTCTTAATTCTTGACAACTCCGATCATTGCCTTTATAATGTCCTTTTACGACATGACGTTTTGCAGTGTCAAAAAATGCAACAATTGAGAATAATGTCATACTCATGTCTAAGGAATCCACTAAATATAATAGTGAATTCTCAAAATATTTTTGATGAATTTTTACTGGATATGTTTGGCGTGTATCAACCATACATGCATAAGTAACTGATTAGACACCTTCATGTCCTCATAGCCCATAAAACTACGTTATCAATCAACTTACAATCTATTCCATACAATTGAATCATTTATGTCGAACTTAATGATTCGAACTAGAAACTAAATTATGTTATAAAACCTATTCAATAGATATGATTTGGTTTGTCAAATCACATATTTGACAATCCTATCAAACCTCATAATTACTTTCGACATATTATATAATACTAAACCAAAGATTAAATAAAATAAGATTATGATAAAGATACAAAATTAGAATCAAATAGTTTTGAAAAAAAAGTATAATAATCCTCTTAAATAGAACTCTTATTTTCTTGTGGGTTGGAGTCTCCAATCTCCTAAGCTTAGATCTGTCCATCCTATTAAAGTTGAACATGTATATTGTAAACTTATACAATTGTATTGTTCCCAACTCAAATTTATTATAAATTTTCCATATCATGAAATAAAAAATAAAATAAAAAACTGTGTGCATAAAATGATTGTAAAAAGTGTTTGTGAATTTGTTGTTTTATGTGATAATACAAGACTATATAAAAGTAGGTAAAGATTAACTAACATTGTTAAGAATTAAAGTTTTTAATGGTATGAAATTGTAAATGTTGTGTTATTTTATTTTTTATTATATTCATTTATGTTAAATTTTGGCGTTCAAATATTCTTTTCGAATAGAAATATGTTGGGTGTTCCGAACGGTATATAAACTGAAGACTTCGTGTTCCCTGCAACTATGAATGAATGAATGCAGCTATGAACAAAGGGAACAGATTTTTCACCATTGCTGAATTCCTCTTACGAAAATATTCAGCATCAAATTCTCTCTCTGAAACCAAAAAACTGCACGCTTTAATAATCACTTCTGGCTTACTCTCTTCGTCCCAACTCTGCTCCAGCCTCGCCACAACCTACGCGCAGTGCCACCATGTTTCCTACGCCTCCCAGCTGTTCGACAAATTGCTCAGACCAAGTTTATTCTCCTGGAACACCATGATGAGGATGTATGTTCAAATGGGTCGTCCTAATGATGCCCTTAACATGTTTGATGAAATGACTCATTCGGGTCGGTCTTTGCCAGATAACTTCACATACCCGATTGTTATCAAGGCTTGTAGTGAGTTGTTGTTTTTTGATATGGGGGTTGGAGTTCATGGGCAGACGCTCAAGTATGGATTTGATAGGGATGTATTTGTTCAAAACTCTTTGTTGGCAATGTATATGGCTGCTGGAGAGAAAGAAGCTGCAAAGTTGGTTTTTGATTTGATGCTTGAACCAACGGTGGTTTCTTGGAATAGTTTGATTAGTGGATACTTTCGGAATGAATGCGCAGAGGAGGCGTTGAGGGTTTATAGTAGAATGATGGATGAGGGTGTAGAGCCTGATTGTGCTACTTTGGTTTCAGTTTTGCCAGTTTGTGGAGTTATGAAGAATGTGGAGGTTGGGAGAGAGATTCATGCGTTGGCTCTTGAGAGAGGGTTTTGGGGGAATGTGGTTGTTAGGAATGCGTTGTTGGATATGTATGTTAAGTGTGGTCAGATGAAGGAAGCGCGGTTGTTGTTGAATGGGATGAATGAGAAGGATGTGGTGACTTGGACGACTTTGATTAATGGATATGTTGTGAACGGTGATGCGAAAAATGCGCTAATGTTGTGTCGAATGATGCAGTCGGAAGGAGTGAAACCAAATTTGGTTAGTGTAACTTCTCTGCTATCGGCCTGTGGTGATTTGGTTTCTTTGAAATGTGGGAAATGCCTACATGCATGGGCAATAAGGCAAAATCTTGAGTCTGAGGTTGTTGTGGAAACCGCCTTAATTGATATGTATGCCAAATGCAATGATAGTAGTCTCAGTTATAACGTGTTTATGAAAACCTCTAAGAAAAGAACTGCCCCGTGGAATGCAGTACTATCTGGGTTCGTACATAACAAGCTTGCTAGAAATGCAGTACAACTCTTCAAACAAATGTTGGCGGAAAACGTACGGCCTGACAGTCCAACCTTAAATAGTCTTCTTCCTGCATACGCTATTCTTGCTGACCTCAAACAGGCAATTAACATACATTGTTACCTTATAAGATTGGGATTTCTTCTCAAACTTGAAGTAGCTAGTATGCTAGTTGACATATACTCAAAGTGCGGAAGTTTAGGATATGCTCACCAAGTTTTTGATATAATTCCTTTCAAAGACAAGGATATTATTATTTGGAGTTCAATAATTGCTGCTTATGGAAAGCACGGGCACGGTGAAATGGCTGTCTCACTTTTCTATCAAATGGTCCAATCTGGAGAGCAACCAAATGAAGTGACTTTCACGTCTGTTCTACACGCTTGCAGCCATGCAGGTTTGGTTGATGAGGGTTTGTCTCTGTTCAATCTTATGCTTAAAAAATACCAAGTTATTCCTCGTGTTGATCATTATACATGCATTGTTGATCTTCTTGGCCGTGCTGGTCGACTGAATGATGCTTACAATCTTATTAGAACAATGCCTATAACACACAACCATGCTATATGGGGTGCACTACTTGGTGCTTGTGTGATACATGAAAATGTTGAACTGGGAGAGATAGCTGCTAGGTGGACTTTTGAGCTTGAACCTGAAAACACTGGAAATTATGTTCTGTTAGCAAAGCTTTATGCTGCTGTAGGAAGGTGGAGAGACGCAGAAATGGTAAGAGATATGGTAAATGAGGTTGGATTACGAAAACTACCTGCTCACAGCTCAGTTGAGGTTAGCAATATGTGAATTGAACGTGTTCTTATAAGTGTGTTGCCAGGCTAACAACCTTAGCCTCAAACATGAAATTCTATCCAAAATGGGTAAGGAATTACGTTAGTTATGCTGGAGATAAATAAATGGCGGTCTTGTAAGCGGCACCTAACATAAATAATTCTTGGCAGCATAGAGTTCAAAGAGGAGAATTGGTATACAGTTACCCCGAATGCACTTTGTTACTACCCAATTGCCAATACTGATTACTGGTGCTTTTCTCACACATTCATCGTCATACAAGTTTCTCGGTTGCTAATGCATGTTCGCAGTTTCACCCGAGACAGTATCCTAAGTTATTCATATTGTTCCTTTGCTAAGGTTGTCAAGTCATTGTGCGCTCCATAGTCCTGCCACGACAATCACTTTCTCCCGAGATTCTCTTTATGAGTAGTTGGATTTTGTTGCTTACATCCAGTTGGTTTACAGAATCACACAACAAGATATAGGAATCACACGTTCCTTGTCATTGGTTTGTTTCTATGGAACTCATAATGAATCCGTTACAATGACAAGTGTGTTCTATTGCCAGATATCTGAAAATTACATATGAATGCTTTCAAACTGCAAGATGCACATACCTATGCCCCATGCTGATACTGCAGTGTGAAATATCATTGAAATTTCCGTTTGTAAGATATGCTGAATTGGAATCTCATGTTCATAATTTCAAAATGTTCAATGCTGTAGAATTGATTCTTTACAATCTCTGCCGAGTTGTGAAAAGAGTTGAGCAGAGATGTGTCTATCAGGGTTGTGATCTTGATGTTCGTCTAATCCTACATTATGCTTAGCTCCAACTTGTGATCTGCTCCATGCTCTCCTGCTAGACCTCACATGTATCATTTAGTTCAAGTAGCCTTCACTTGTTGTCCAAAAAGATAAGTACTGTTATCTCTTTACTGCAAAGCAACCAATTTTTATACATGGGAATGGAGACTATACCGACACCAGGCGTCACAAGGTATGATATAACAAGTATTTTATAACTGAGATTTTGATCCTATAGTCCCACTTGGAATTAATGGCCTTGTGAAGTCTACAAATTCTAAACTAGAATGACAATGGGAAGAACGACTCTACCAATTCTATGTTACAGTACTTTTTTCTTTTTTTAAATTTATGGTGCAAGATCTGTAATACATGTTAATTTTTATGACAATTTATCAAAATGAAGTGGAACTATACATATATTATCATGAGTGCTAGCAACACACTCTTTCCAAGAGACACTCTTTTCTATTGGTTGACATCGAAATGAATTCCACTAAATCATGTAGGTCCCAATAAATTTAGTGAAACTCACAAATTTCAACCAATAAAAGAGTGTGTATTGCAAGCATAATTCTTAGAATATTGAGTTGTTTGCTTGATGGTCTTTGTTAAGAGGTGTGGTTGGGTGAGGATTTCCCCCACTTATAAGCATATGGTCAGACCATATATTGTCTTATGTAGGACTCTTAACACACACCCTCGCACCCAGGACTAACTAGATCTTAATGTTGACTATGATATCATGTTAAGAGTTGTGGTTGGGTGTAACTCAACCCTACAAAATTGACTCGTAGAATGAGAATTGCCCCCACTTATAAGTATGTATTCAGATTATTTATTATCCGATGTAGGACTCTTAACAGTTTTATAAAACTTCAGTAAGCATATGCCACAGTGTGAATGATCTTAGGAATATCCATCAGGAAACTCCCATTGGAATATCTGGATGTTATTTGTAAGCTTCCAATAAATAGCCATCTTTGCATGAATGCATAATTGAAACTCTTATGTCTAGCTGAGGGTGATGTCATTTTATAGCTTGTGAAATCAAATGTATTGTATACAATATTGATATGGTTTTTCCCTATATTTGGGAGGCTAAATAGTCTGATTTATCCATATTTTTTAGGCATATAATTCCTTTCAGATCAATACCTAAATTCGCATGCATTGGGCCCTTCTACCAAGAAGACCAGAGCATGGATTTCTGAAATATTCACTGGTGTATTAACGATGAAATGTTAACAGGGATGGTACACAAGTGAGAGGAAAATTTTCAAGTATACTATATGAGTTGGATGCAATCTATAAGGTCAGTTTCAATTTATTTTTTCTCCTCAGATATTTATATTCATTTATAACTAAAGCATGTTTTGGTAAGCGACTTCTGTGTTGTGTGGTGCAGGCATACATCCTTAGAACAAGTCTACTACTCCTTTCTGTAACTTTTCTTATTGTTCAAAAATAGCATCATACTCGCTTATCTACACACCTCTTCAAGGACAAGAGGATTGGAGATAAAAGCAAAATATATTGCCTAATAAGTTGGACTTCTTGAAGTGCACATGTACACATAATTTATGATTAGGAATCACTCTTGTCCGTTTTAAAAATGATTAGATGTTAAGAAATGTGATTGAGTCTAATTCAATCCTACAAAATCGGTTGGTAAGGTGAGGATTGCTCCCACTTATAAAAACACGTTCATGCCATATATTATCCGATGTGGGACTCTTAACACACTCCATCACGCTCAGAACTAGATAATTGGAGCGTGGAAATAAATAGTAGGTGACCTGATAGCGGAAACCTGATAGCAGATGACCTATCGAATCTTAAACGAGGCTCTTGATACCATGTTAAGAAATATGGTTGGGTCATCTACTATCAGGTTTCTGCTATCGGGTCACCCACTATTTATTTCCACGCTCCAGTTGTCTAGTCCTGAGCGTGAAGGAGTGTGTTAAGAGTCCCACATTGGATAATATATGGCATGAACATGTCTTTATAAGTGAGAGCAATTCTCACCTTACCAACTGGTTTTGTAGAGTGGAGTTAGGCCCAACCACATTTTTTAACAAATAACAAATCATAGTCTTCTCTCATATATACTGCAGGAAATAACAAATAGTATTTTGCTCAGAAACCACAATCTGTTTTCATATCAAATGCTGATTTTTATCTCTGATGTTTGTCTACTCTTGCATTATGTTAATCTAATTACTCAACTTGTAAACTGATTCACCATTTTTGTCTAAACATGTAAACTTATTATTCACTGCAAAAGTAACCAATTTTACGAAGTAGTTGATAACAACACTTTCATTGAGCTATAATGTATAAAATATTTAGGTAAAAACAAATTGAAGTCAAACCAAAGAGGATGACTGTATTGGAATAATTTTGGTCAAGCCCAATGAGTCCTATCTATCAACTTACTAACCTCTAAATGGCATAGAGGTTGTGGGGGTACGAAAGGGCGGGGTCAGGTGGCGAGCACATGACCCAACCCAACCCAATTCTCCTTTCTCCTTCATCATAATTCATGGGAGAATGTGACAAGCCATGTGTTAGATGAATAATTGAAAGACCCCAAGTCTCCTATGATCGAGGATGATGCATCTCACTCACTTCCATTACTAGTCAAAGTTAGGGGCAAGTGGCCGAATTAATAAGCAGGAGAACCAATTTTCTTAGACGACCATTGGGTCAAACAATTGCATATATAAATGTCCTAGTCAGGTAGTTGAGTGATGTATTCACTTTTCACATACCAAAATATACTAAGCCCTCTTGTGCATCTTATCGTAGGTAAGGTGACTCCTATTGTACTCATCGCAAGTACAAGGACCAAACAACATTCATCGAGAGGAACACCAATCAAGGGTAGAATTTAGGGTTGAAAAGTTGTGTCACTTTAATACCAATAACAAAGAATTGTGTTAGACCTCTCACATGACTTATTAATTATGTTTTTAAGTATGAATTATTATATTATTACAGGGGAGTTGATTATCGTGGAATTTGATAGAAAATGGTTATTTTGGCATAAGGGAGGTGCATATCCTCAAAGTTCTGCGATATTAATATGTAGTCCAAAGGAATTTTTCATATTTTGTTTTATATATTAGTTGATTTCTATCAATGGGTATCAGATCAATCATAATTTAGGAAGATTCTCTAGGTGTGCTGGAAATTTTGGCATGAAGATAACAACAAATTTGATTCCAAGATTTCATGGAAGGGATGCCTATTGGTGGTTGATCGAAGCAAAGCAATATTTTAGATCAAGAAAGATGAGAAAAGAGATGAAATTTATTGGGTTATTGCATTCACATTAAGATGAGATGCTCCTAATTGGTATCTTTCTTGGAAGAAGAATGTACTTGCTAAAAGAACAAATGTGTGACAACCCTTAGTGATTAAGGGTTATTAGAGGGTTCAAAATTGTTGTGAGATTGAAAGCTAGCTCACATGGGGTGAGAAGCTCTGTATGAGAGTATTTCTATATTGGGGGTAAGGTTCATCTTTATCGCGACATTGAGGTATTTATAGCCACCCTGAGCTAGTTGTATACAAGACTTCTTGGAATATAGCAACCACTCTTAGAATGGGTAGCTAATTCCTTGAAACTCAGTGAACACAATTAATTCCCACGACTCCCTATGTGTCGTTTGTGGACTCAGTAAACGTTACATGCATTATGGGCAGAGACATGAGGGATCCGAGTGACATGTCGAATGAAAGGGCGTCTTGTTCACAAGAGGGTGCTTAAACCAACAAATGAACGATCTAGAAATAATGATATGCAAAGAGTATGCCTTCGCCACACCTCCATGACCCTTCAAATTACACCACTAATCAGTCCCTCAAGCATGAAAACTCGTAGAGGCTGAAGTGTTTTAGTACCTTAATCATCTTCATACTTTTCTCACAGCTTTATTCATACCTTCAATTCTTCCGACTTAGTTGAGTCCCTCAAGTGATACTTAATTGAGTCTTCCTGACACGAATTAGTTAAGTCCCTCGAGCGAGGCTTAGTTAAGTCCCTCGGGCGAGGCTTAGTTAAGTCCCCTTGACGAGACTTGGTTGAGTTTTCTTGATGAGAATTAGTTAAGTCCCTCAGTCGAGACTTAGTTGAGTCCCTCAGGAAAGACTTAGTTGAGTCTTCTCGAAGAGACTTGGTTAAGTTCCTTAGACGAGACTTAGTTGATTTCCTCATATGAGACTTATTTGAGTTCCTCCTTGAGGTTGAAAAATATTTTCATAGTGTAGTTACTCATAGGCGGCAAGAATCTTCTTGCGGAAGTCCAGCAATTCAATTACTCTGTGAGGCGGCAAGGATCTTCCCGGAGAAGCCTATTAGTTTAATTACTCTGTAAGATGACAAAGATATTTATATGGAAGTCCAATAATTTAATTATCGTGTAGGGCAACAAGGATCTTCTTATGGAAACCCATCAATTAATTACCCCGTATGGCAGCAAGGATCTTCCTGTGGAAGTCTAACAATTTAATTTGACAACCAAACAATAATAACCTTTTGCAAATATCATAATCTTTTTACAAGATTTTTCACAAATAGGCAACTCGCCTTCCTACTAATCAACTATAATAATATATTAGATTGACTAAATTCCAAATTCTTTAAATGAGTCGTCCATCCAACTCTTCGAGCTTATAGGCACTATAAGGAAACTTATGATATATATGATGCAGTCCCCACCAGTTAGGTTGCAGATTTCCTTGTTGGTCGAGAATGACGACTTATGGTAGCACTAAATCTCCTACTTACATATCTCTTCGAACCACCTTGGAGTTATATCTTTTGCATGCTCTTTGTTTAGCGCCAAACTCTCGAATGTGGGCGAGTCTCTTGTCTCATCAATTAGGTCAGAACATAACTTAACCCTGTCCCGTTTTCTTCCTCATTAAACTGAAAGTGTCACTGAAAGTGTCACCATGATGGTTGAGTAATTGATTATAGATTAAGCATAATTGATAATGGCTCAAATCTGAGAAATTTCCTAAAATGGGGGGAAAATATGGATATATGTGTTATACAAATATGATTGTCATTTGATTTTTATGCTGACAATTGAACACAACTAAAGACAACTATCAAACAACTTTTAAAGATGATTATTCTATAAGTCAAACAACTTTTGAATGTTGAAAGCTCTTTTAAAGAGTTCTTTGTGACAAGTGTCAAAGGGAGAGTTGATATCAATTGTCAAGTATTTTTTGAAGATTGCATTTGATCAAGAAAAATATATTTCAAACCTTATCATATTGATAATTAAAGTCTTATATGTTTGTGGATAATTACACTAGGCATGCTTTGATATTTCTCATGAAATTAAAATCACCTAGAGAACCACTAAAACTTTATAGAGACACAAAACTTATTTCATTCTCTCAAAATTATTCGAAAAGATGGAAGTAAAGTGAATGCATATAAAATCAATATAAAATGAGGGTCAAGTAAGTCTCTAAAACGCCGCGTTACTTACCACGTTTAGAGGCGATAAACTACAACTTGAGAAATATAACCTACTCGACAACTATGACAAAGGGACAAGGCATGCAAGTCATCGACAATGCAATAAATACACTTGAAAGAAAATAATGATATTAACTCACTCATGAGTAACAAAAATATTACATAATAACACACTCGATACAACTCTTTATTTGCTTTAGCAATTTATTCTAGTAAGTAATATTTGCATCAACACTTAGTGGAAAAAACATAACCTACTAAAACAATGAAAATTCAACTGATGTATGTCACTCTTATAAACCTCATACTTGGGAGACTGATGGATCAATGTAAGACTTGAAGGTCGTAGACTCGATCTCATACCCAATCTCAAAAAATTAGTCAACCAACCATTACATGACTAACACTAAATATGGTTGTCTTGACATAAGGATAAGAGAGCGGTCATCCTTTCACAATGGGTCTAGAACCCGATCTCAAGGCCCCAAGCTCATGACTTGAGTCGAAACACATGAATATCTATATAAACTATAAAATGATCACCTTAAAACAAGAAGAAGCTTGATCACCACCTCCATTCTCCTATCTTCACTGCAATTTGAAATATTACTAATTACTACTCGTGATCATCTTTAATATTAGTGGCTTAAATTAGGTTCAAGAAACATCCCAACAAATATAAATAAGATATTGAATGCTAGCACAACTTCCTATCATCCATATTACACTAGTAAAACCTTGTACATGGCATCTTTTTTTATGACAAAGTTTATCTTTCGACTTAACAAGAATAAAAAAAAATTATGTAGGATAAAAAAATATAACAAAGTTAAACTAATTGCTTTATATCATATTGTTAATAATATCTTAAAATAAATTTTACACAAATCTTAAATTTATGCTTTTAAATAAAAATATTAAAATATTATCAAAATGAAAATCTTAACAATATTTTAAAGAATTTAATTGATATGTAATGTCAGTATAAAAGCTTTTTGCACTGTCAATTGATCTCAACTGCTAATTTATTTAAATAGTTTGACTTTTTTTTAACTATTTGAAAAATAATACTGATTATGATGTATTGATCATATAAAACTTATTTTAAAATAAAAAAAATTATATTATTCTTATTACGGTAGTACATAAATTAAAAGACACTCCATAATGGTAGTACATAAATTAAAAGACACTCTATAATAATTTTTTTTGAAATTGTATTTTAAATTTAATATACATTTATAATTAATAATTTAATTATTTTTAACCTTGCGGATTTTTTATTCGTGGATTTTTTAACCTATGTCCTAAACACACATTAGCATTACCTTATTATTATTATTAAACTGAAGCGGAGTGCAAGAACAAGAACAATACCCTACGGCTTGTATTAATCACAATTCGCAACAAGCAAGAGAAGAATCAAAATCCTCAATTCCGTTTGGAAAATTCGAAATCGAGAATCAACGATGGAAGTTGAAGGATCATCGAAGAAGATGATAGCGACACAAGAGGAAATGGTCGAAGCTAGGGTTCCGTTAGCGTACAGAGATCAGTGTGCGCATTTGCTGATCCCTCTCAACAAGTGCAGACAATCCGAATTCTATCTCCCATGGAAGTGCGAGAACGAACGTCACTCTTATGAGAAGTGCGAGTACGAACTCGTCATGGAGAGAATGCTTCAGATGCAAAAGATCCGCGAAAAGGCGAAAGAGAATGATAAACAATCTCTCACTCAGGGCGGCGCTATTCCTCTCATTCCGAAACCTGCTAATGCTTGATTCCTATCTCTCTCTCTCCCGCTCTCTGTGTAAGCTTCTTTCTCCTTTCGTTTCATTCTATTGAATTGTGCGTTTTCTTGTTTGTATCGGTTTGCTTTGAATTGGAATTGATGTTTTTTTTTTAATTCTTTTTATTTATAATTTTTGATATTCTGTTTACGAATAATTATGTGTGAAGGATTTAGGCGATTTATGTTCTTTACTGAAATGGATTGATGAATTTGTGTATAGTTCGTGTGCTGGCCTCGTTGATTAGGGTTTTTGCTTAACTAGCAATGGGACATATTGTGAAAAGTGCATAGTTGAGAATTGAGTGGTGTAGTTGAATTTGTTATTTATTGTAGATTAGGTTCTAGGTTTATGCTATTGAGGTTTTTGATTTTCGATTTCCTGTTTATGATTAATTAGGTGCCGGTGTTAGGTGATTGATGTTCTTTATTATATTATGAAATTGAATGATGAATTTGTGCATATTTTGTTAGCTAGCCTCGTCAATGAGGGTTTTGCTTAATTAGCAGTTTGACGGATTGTGAGAAGTATATAACTGAGTGGTTGAGTTTGTTAGTAATTGTAAATTAGGTTGTTGGTTTGTGGGTGATAAGATCTATGAACTCAAATAAATTTAGCATCTCATGGATCATCTTTGATATTGTGATCCTGTTTTAGATTTTATCTGTTCCTCCATACTCTTGAGCTTCATTGTTCTCCTTTTCCCTTTGCCACTCCATCTGATTACTAGTTTAGTATTAGAGCAATATCTACCTGCTGCTTCAACAATGGCTTCTGCTGTGATGGCAGAATCATCTTGACTGGTCCACATTTCTGTATGGGCCAATGGCTTGAAGAACATATACAACAGAGTTCAATCGTCTACTCTATGTTCTCTGCCAAGGTTAATTATGGTGGACTTCATCTCCAAGGTGGTGATTATAAAGCCACAGAACCATTGCTTTGCGTCAATTTTGGCATTTTCTCTTCCAAAGATGGAAGAGATGGTTGCGAGCCTGGAGTTTTTCATCTTTCTCTATGGATCTTACTGCTGAACCATCAGTTCTTCTATTGCTTCTTCCAGTCCTTCCGTCTTCCTCTATTGATGACAATAACTTCATTGCAAAGGAGCCAGACAAACCTGAATACGGAAGCGTTTGATGCTTTTATATGTTAGGCTTAGAAGCCAAAGTTTGGTTGTCATTGTGCACTTGTAACTTATTGTGATCTAAGAAATGACTCCAGCCAGTGAACTGTGGTAGCTCTTCTGCTTAATCAACAGTTCTTTCGACCCCTACACATAATCTCAAGTGTCTGTTTCAATGAGCAAAGACAAGCTATGGGTTTGTGACTTATTAGTTTTATTCTGATCCAAACAAAGGAATTCTGTGGTTCAAAGAAGCATTGTTCCGTTCATCAACATCTGCCTGGAATCATAACCAAAATGATGATTTTCCTAATTGTCAAGTTGAACTTGTTGAACATTAAGCTGTCAATGTTTTTTGTCTTAATTTTACCGTTTGTGTCCAGTACGGGGAACACTTGGGATGGGTTCATTATTTGGTCGCATTGTTCCTTGGTAATGGCTTATGCTATCATACTCGTCAAATGTTGTTTCCCCTGATATTGATTCTTCATTTCTTTGTTACAATATGGGCCAATAAATTGTAATTGGTCTATTGTGGCTTCCATCATCAGAGCCCTGTATGTGTGTGGTATATGTGAACAGTTGAAAGAAGACTGTGTGGATATAAACCTGTTTAAGTGTATGTCAATTCTTCTCTTTTGAAAATGCCTTGGTTCATTAAAGAGTGATGGAATAATGACATTGTTAGGTAGCATGAAGGAAAGGTGTTAGATGAATCAACAACATCTCAAAATATTTCCTTTTTTGGGACCCTGAGAATCCTTCAGTTACTATACTCTTTGGTTGACCGCAATGATTTTGTGGAAACTTGCGATTTTCCGCCAATAGCAGTTGATGGCAACTCTGTTTTTTTTCCTCTCCCGGATCAGAAGTGCTCTGATACCAGTTGATAGAAACCAACTGATATATAAAAGAAAATAGGGAAAATCCCTATTTATTACAGAATAGTACTGCAGATCTTCGAGGGTCTGCACCTCACAATGCCAAAATGGCCCCTTTTCCTATCCAATTCCAAGATGATCAACTCCCGAATGTCTTCCCCTATTTGTTCTAAACCTAAACACTCTTTATTAATAGTGTAATTATAATAATTCTAATAATTACCCACTAACTCTCCTAATAATTTAATATCAGTTACAAAACAGAAGAGTCCAACAATTCTGTATGGGACTGTTTTAATGTTGCCATTGCAGACTTATATCTCACTTTTCCAAATTGCTTCTGTTTTATGCATTTGTGTCTTTCATTTCAAACTGGTTGTGGTAGTTACTCTTTACAGCTTGCCCGACAGACAGGGGGTGTTGAAATACACATAGTTGAGTGGTAGTAAATGTGCCATATAGTTGAGTTTGTGGTAGTTATAAAACAGTTTGTTGGTTTTTGGTTAGTAAACTATAATATGGTTCCATTTGAAAATTTGTTTCTCTTTCTCCAAGCTTTCAATCTTCCTTGTTACCTTTTTCCCTTCATATTCAGATGTCTAAAATAGCTTGAAGGGAATACAAATTAAGGACAGTGGGGATCCATCCCTCAATGTAAAACCATTGCTTTTGGTGTAGTGTTAACCATGTCTATCCCTTGGGTATTGTAAATATATTTTAGGCGGACATTGATTTTAGTTGATATAATTATATTCAGCGCTTTGGCTGAATAGTAATATAAGAGCCATGCCTTCTGAATGTTTCCCTGTTTGAAATTTATTATTGCAATGCAAGGCTTGATTATAAGCAATAGTACTCCAAGCAGATTAGATCTAATACTTGCTTCGAGGAATTAAAGTGCCATTTGTATATACAAAATTGGATAGTTCTGTAGTGCACAAGTAAATTAGGTGTTGTACAATGCACACGTTTGTTTCCACCATTGAATAAAATATTTCCACCATTGGATCAAGTTAGATATGGCGTGGCTTATTGATCTAGTGATGGAAAACAAACATGTGTACATCACTAATTTACTTATGCACCATAGAATTAGCCTACAATTGCATAGTAAAAAACAAATGTTGACGAGTTCATAATTCTTTACTCAAAATGTATTACTAATTGCAGTGAAAATGTCATGATATAATTCAGTTCATTTGTTTTAACTTTGATGGTAGGTCTTGAATGAAGTTCTACCTTTTTGTTATCCTTCTTATGACTTGTTTTTTTTTAAAACTAGTTTATTTTAGGGGGTGGAGGGGTATGGTTGTTTTGAGTGTTGACTCTTAATTTTGTGACGCAAGCAAATGGGACACTACATTCTCATGAAGCTTTCAAACAACTTTTAAACTTCAATTGTAAAGGCTGTTTGTGCTATAGCAGAAATAAGACAGTCTTGCCTACCCGTATGTTTTTCTTTTTCTTTTCAAAATAAAATAAATAATAATTTGCCACAAGATACTGCAATGAATCAATGACTTTAGGGTACTGCAAAATCAGGAAAATCTGTTTGTCACTTGTATTTCTGCAGGTTGAAGGTGATATTTATGACTGGGCTTCGTGCTGGTCTTTTTAGTGATATATAGCCTTTTTTTGCACTATTAAGTGATCAGAAAGTAGTCTTTTATATTTTTTAATCTTGAACTTTTTGCAAGTGTAGCAGTTGGTGTAAGTTGTGAGGTCTCACTTTGTAAGCTTGGTGTCCACCTTGGGTTTTGTGTGTCATCTTGTTCTTCTTGGTGTTTGGAGTTCTTGCACTTTCTAATTGCTTTCATCCATGTCATATTTGATGCAGTTCAACTTTTGACAAGAACCTTTGCTTGCGAGGGATGTTGTTTCATGTTTTTTCTATTTTATGGATTCAAAGTTGCCTTGGAATGTTTGTCCAGAGACGCCTACAGACTGATTATTATTATACTCTATTTCTTGCTATTTTCCCTGTGGTGAGACCATGTTCGTACTAGAAGAAATAAAATTTCATAAAGGGAGTCGCTAACTGATTGCTTTCATATTCATTTTTTTGCATTCCATCGATCAGAATAGTGTTGACAATTTATAATATTGGTTATAGGATCTGGATCCGATATTAAAACTCATACCTAGTTCAATCAAACTATTTAATAAAGGCGTCTTTTTCCTTCCTTCCAAATGTTAGCTAAGGATTTAATAATTTACATGAAAAGAAAAAAAGAAACTGGAGTAGTTTGGAATGTTTACGAATCCTTTGAAAGAAAACAAATAATACACGTAATGCTTTGGAGAAAAAAACCTCAAACTCTGGCTTGAGATATAATAAACACTTAAAATGTTGGACCCATCCCTATTATTTTATGAAAAGTTTGGATGAATTCTGCTATGAATATTTACAGGCAGAATGTTATTTTGATCAATATGATCACAATTTGAACCGGGAGAACTTTATTGGTCCGTTTGGGAGGATTTTGGAGGGTTAGAGTAGAGAAGGAATTATTTTTATTTTCTAAATTAAACAACCTATAAAATGTTGAGGGAGGATTTTATTATTTATTATGGCCATTAAATATTGAGGGAGAATTTTGTTATTTATTATGGCCATTCTTTATTTGAGAGATTAATCTTTGGGATTGTACGGAGATAATATCTCTAGCTTATAAAAATAAAGTTATACTTTATTATCAATTTTAGCAAGGGCTTGTCTAAGTAGGGGTTCTTCCCAACGTGTGTTCAGCCCATTAGCATTGAGCTTGGAGTATTTTCTATTCATTTTAAACTAGATCGAAAAGAATGCTTTTGACACCTTAAAAAAATATTTAAAAAAATATTTAGCTAATTTTTCCATTCATTTTCTATATATTTAAATTTGTTAAAATACATTACGGAAAGAATGCTTTTGATAAATTTTTAAAACGGTATTGAAAAAGTTTCAATAAGTAACGTAATAAACTATTAATAATATAATTTGG